AGTTTTTTTTTTTTTTTTATGTTGGTGATAGCACGTGTTGTGCTCAATGGAGTTCCCAATACCCCAATACCCAACTGTTTCTCGAAAGGAGGGCGTTTTCAAGCCCTCGAGTTGAAATCGGACATGGGCGGGGATAAGCGGAAGTGTTTGTCCACGGGTGATGCGATGATGATGAGGTGTGCAAGAGCAGTCGGACGGAATGAAGAAGCAGCTACGGGGTCAAAGGAGAATTCACGGTAGAAAGAGAGGAAGAAGCTGCCCAGTAGTGCAGAGTCTCTACCTCTTAGTGAAGCTTTTCTGCCTTTCGGAATGATCAATGATTGAGGGCAGCTGCAGGGTCTGAGGTTGAAGCTCTCTTGTGCTTTTTGGCTGGCTGCCTGGAGAGGGTTCGACATCATCAACTTCTGACTAAGGCAGGAACGGGGTCTGAGCGGGTATTCCGGAATCTTACAATACTGGTATGATGGATACCAGACATTTAACCATCTGATTGTCCTATTGGTGGCAGGTCTTACGAGTATTATCATCGTCACCTTGATCGATGTATTCAGTATTCAGCACAACGGGGAATGATTAAAATATAAGTACTCCACTCGCGTCTTTGAAAGGACCAACGGCAATAAATTTGATGGAGAGGTTGTGTTGTCCAGAACACATCGGCAGATCTTGTGCTGTATGTATGTACTAGCCATGTACTGTTGTACTCCGTATGTGATTAGTCTAGAAACTCCCCCTCTCCCCGGATAGCCGTCGGTCTCTTCAGCAATCAGACCAGCAAGGTGACCAGAAGGTCGAAAAAGGGGCCGAGGGGGGCAAATAATTGACAGCCTAACATGACAGCCTGACAGCCAAAGACCAATGCAGGTGGAAATCACCAAGCAATGTTTGCCAAAATAGAGAGCAAACAGGCTGATCTAGCTGGTCCAGAAGGAGGTGATTGAGGAAACCATACTATTAAGGGGGAGGTGGCCACTGTTCCTAGGAGGTACATAGTAGGTACCTGTTGTACCTTAGGGGCTCTTCAGTGGTTCCAAGTACCTACGGGTACTCTACTGGCGGGATTAATCACTCCCCATCTCAATTCCAATCAATCCCGTAAGTCTTCCCCCCCAATCCCTCTCCTCTCCTCTCCTCTTCTCTTTATCATTCATTACCTCCTCCCCTCTCTCGACCCCTCTTTCTATCCACCCTTTCATACTCCCGCGAACAAGCTTTCGCGTGGTCGACCTTCTCTTTCTTTCATTCCTTATGCCTCTTTCTTGTTTCCGCCTTTCTTCTTGTTGTTGTTGATCATATGGTGAGGGCAGATGCGATGTAATCACCCGTGGAACCGCAAGCTTGTTGTCCTGTCTCCCTTGTATCGTGCTAACCTGTTTCTGTCTCATAGTCACTCATATAACCAACAAAGAAAATCGCCAGGATTTGACTCAATAATGTATACTGTTCTGTGAAAGGCGCAACTTTCCTTCCAGCTATCCCATGCCCTCCGTTCAACTGCCCGAGCCTCGCAATCAACGGTTACCCCACATCTCCCCTTCCCACCGTGTTTCCATTGCTTTCCAGCTGCACTAGCTAGCCACAACACCTTCTTTCACCATGATTTCAGAAGAACTTCTGGAGGAGTGCTTGCAGATCCTCCAGGATGAAGCTCTGGATGAGGAAGATCAGGCCGAGAAAGTCGAAGACTTTATCCGCGAAAAGACCTCGTTATCTGGCCCAGCTCTCGAAAATGCCGTGCTGGACGTTCTTTGGCGCCATCGAAATCGCACTCTGCCCAACGCCTCTCCACCACCTCCTCGTCATACAGTCATCCGTCGCTCGTCCCCCGCTCCCTGGCAGATGGTCCGCTCAGCCACACCCTTATCGCCTCATTCCAATCTAGGCACCAGTCCGGGAAGCACTTCCTGGCTTCAGAGCTCCCGAGGGGGGTATCCGCGACCCCCGCTTTCCTCAACAGTATCACCCTTCACCTCTCCGCGCCCGTCACCTCGGCTCGCTTTGGCTCAACCTATACCCCACTCTCCGAACTTGAATGCCTACGAATTTTCCGACCAGAGTCATGTGTCAGACTTCTACGGAGATTTTGGCAGCGATAGCAATGTTGATTGGTTGGTCGCGGATGATGCCAATAGTGTCGCATCATCCTTAGGGACGCCGAGTCTTACAGCAGCATTGAGCGCGACAGCTCCAGAATTCGTTCCCGACATGAGTCCGCATGACATTCTGCGCACTGTTCTCGGAGATAAACGGACAAATGATGAGATTGAAGCAGCACTGGAAGCGAATAGTTACGATCTTGGCGCCACAATCGCATCGCTTTCACAATTCACAGACGGAGAAGCTCTGTTGAATCATGCGGATGATAGCCATGTTGTGGTGGGAAAATCGATGTCCATGGAGCAGCCTAAAGCTGTGAGTCCGTCGCTGCAGAGTCGCAGTCCGGTGGTCTGCAAATACTGGCTGTCCACCGGACAATGTCTTCGTGCGGACTGTCGGTTTAGCCACGACCTCACCAACCACCTTTGCAAGTATGTTGAGACCATCGCAGCTGCGATCCAAAGACCTCCTCAGACTGACGAACATAGGTACTGGGTGATGGGCAATTGCCTTGCCGGTGACGGTTGCCCGTTTTCTCATGATCCGTCAGCTCTGGTTGCAAACATGAGCTTGGCAGACGGAAGTCAGACAATCCCGACCGGCCCGCAATTCCACATAGAGAATGTCTCGGACGCTTTCCCTCCTCTCCAGTCTGGGGGCGGAGACCAGTGGGGTGGCCAATACGTTGGAAAGTATCCCGGCCACCTATCGGGCTTGTCTGGTGGGAAGCATTCGCCGCAGGCTATGCAGTATGTCATGGGGAAACGAAATGGCAGCATAACGAATCTTTCTCGCCCCCACTCTCGACCAGGGAGCCGACATCAGCATAGGGAATTGAATCCGGCTGCTCTGTCGGTGGATGACCCGGATGCATTTCCTACCCTGGCTGCTATGAGCGCGAGGAACAGTGGAAAGAAGCATCATGGAAAAAGAGGCGCGCACAATCGCGAGAACAATCCAAGCAAGGAGAATCTTCCCGCTTCCTTAGCAGATGTTGTTCGCATGTCCCCCTCCCCAGTCCCAGGAAAAGGGAAATCCACGTCCAAAAATGGCAAAGACGCAGCCAGAGGCCGAGAGTTCAGCGCTGCTGCCCAGTCTATTCCAGCGCCACAGAATATCCCTTGGCTCGAGACAGGGGCACGTGCCAATGAACAGTATATCAAGTATCGGACGAAGGCAATAGGTCATGGTACGGTGAGGAACAAGTTCCTTCAAGGGTAAGTCTACCGCAATTGAAGTTGGCTTATGAAAGCTAATCCGTCGTTGAAGTGCCGCCCAAGCCTGGAACCGGAACGACGCCAGGGCAGCCAAGGCGCTGTCTCTGCGGGGCCAAGCCGAGAACGAAGCAATGAGGAAGTGCCATCGCGAAGCAGCCCGGCAATTATATGAGGAACGGAACAAACATCTATCTCATGCTGGCCTAGAGGATTCATCAGAGGAGTTATATGTCGATCTGCATGGGCTGCATCCTGAGGAGGCTATTGAATACCTAGAGAAGATTCTGTTGAAGCATGCTCGTGAAGGTCGGAGAGTGGTCTATGCCATCACTGGCACCGGCCATCATTCCAAGAACGGCAAGGATAAGATCGGCAAGGCCGTCAAGGCCTGGCTGAACGACTGGAAGTATCTCTTCCGCGAGTTCAGCGTCCCAGGCGAAAGAGGTGGGTATGTTGGGGGAATCTTAGGCATTGACCCCACGAGTTATGACAAGAGTCTGGCCAGGAGCCTTGAAGAGAGTGCCGAGGCAAAATCCGACGTCGATACCGGCCCCCCTGTGCTGACAATGGGCAAGATTCAGTTGTTAAAACGCGAAGATCTGGAACCGAAGTCATAATTCCATACATCTTCTACAAGTCCAATGTCTCCTTTCTTGAGATGGCACACGCAACCTTCTCATCATATCCCACTCCTCTCTATCGATTCTTACTCTACTCTTCTTGCTCATAGCTCAGATAATATCTCGGGAGCTTGCTGTGCCACCACACGCTTCGACAGCCGACATCAGCAAACAGGATCGAGTCCGAACGGTGCCCTGCCCGAGGACGGATGTCACAAGCAAGTTGCGTAATTCACGGGCACGAGCTAAATTTGACCGACCCTTTCTTTCCCTCGTGTAGAGCGTTCAGCTAGCTACCTATTATAGCGTGCCCTTATTCTATTATTCTCTCCATGCAGACAATTCCAACCTTACGCCGGCCGAATTAGGTTATGCTAAATATGGAAGAACACTATAACATGTATATACCTTTTTTTCAGCATGCATATATGCATCTCAGTGTTCGAGAAATGATGCCAGTTGAAGTCGTACTGATTCTCTCTTACCAAAGCCGAACTATTTACTCCGGCTCCTGACCCTTCCACTTCTCCCTCAACTCCCGCACATTGAACCCGCACGCCTCGGCCTTCTTGACCACAGCCCTCGCCTTCTCCGCCACAGGCACATCGATCATCTTTCCATCCAGCGTCCAGGCCCCACGTCCGGCCTGCGCCGCCTTGTCATCGGCGATGCACACCCGCACCGCCCACTGGACTTCCTCAGGATCGGGCCCGAAGATCCGCTGCGCGGTCTCCACCTGCGACGGATGGATACACTGCTTCCCATTGAACCCCAACCGGCGACCGTCGCGACACTCTTCCTCCAGTACCGCGGGGGGCGACCCGTCGCCCTTGCTCGATCGGTAGGCGGTGCACACCAGATCAATCGTTGAGGGGAGTTCCGCCGCGCGGGCCGCTGTGGCGATCATCGACCGCGCGAACAGGAACTCAGTGAGCGAGGGGGTGCGCGTGAGACTGAGGTCCAAGGCGAAGTCCTCGGCGGCGAAGATCAGACCTTGGAGAAGCGGGGTGGAGGCGCAGATCTGCGTGAGGTTGGTGAGGGATTTGGCGGACTCGATGAGGGCGAGGAGGGAGATGGGCGGACGCTTCGGGTCTTGTCGTTGCTGGGAGAGGGTGTGGGTGATTACGTCGGTGACGAAGGTTAGGTCGGAGGGGGAGTTGACTTTGGGAATTACGATGGTGGTGAGGTTGGGGGATTGGAGCTGTTGGATGTGTGATGTGGGGTTAGCTTAGCTAGGTGGCGCGTGACGCTATGATGGATTTATGTGGAGAGTAAGGAGGAGTGAGGACTGACGACTTCGGTGAGATCGCTCAGGGCGAGGCCACTGTCCACGGAGTTGATGCGGACGGCTCGTTCGCGAATCCCCTCTGGTGCCGGTTGATCGAGCGCCCTCCGCACCAGGGAGCGGGCTTCCGCTTTCTTGTGCGGAGTCACGCTGTCTTCCAGGTCGTAGGCCACGCAGTCGGCGGTTAGGGTGCGGGATTTGTCGATGAAGCGTTGGGAGGAGCCGGGGACTATGTTATATCATCTTAGTTTCTTGTCCGTTGGCGTCTGTATGTGGCTGTGCTGGTGTAGGTGGTTTGGAAGTGTGGGAACACGCCCCTGTAGGAAAATGCGGGGAGAGCTCCTGTGGGTTCGCGATAAGTGTGTACGGTACGATAGAGACATACTGTAGAGAAGAGCTCGACGAAGCGTGTTACGGGCTGCCATTGTGACTGAAGTTGGGGCTGGCTTGTGTCTTCTGAGTCTTCTGGCGTGTGAATTTAGTAACTGAAATTCACCCGGTACAAGCGGAGAGTGCGAAAGATAGAGAGTGTGGAGGAAAGAGGAGAATCTGGACCGATGGACATCCTCGGGTTGCTGGCCGCGGCGCATAAAGGCTTCTCCCGCCGTCAGGAACTCTCTATCGGTCCAATGACCTCATCCACTAGGGTGGATCGCTTATGCATGGTCTGCCGGGGAGAGATCCTCTTCTCCCTCCTTGCCTCTTGACTGCATATGTATGGGTGATCGTAGGGAGTCCAGTGAAGTAATGAGTAAGCTTCGTACTGCCATCGTAATGTGCTGAGAGTCTAGCAAGAGGAATCACGTCCGTTAAGGAAAGAATAACAACCATTCATATAGCCGGCGGTGGCTCCGCATTCTGCCAGTATCCACCGCCGGGGCATGGAGACACGCAGCATCAACGCATTGAGCACATTCCTGCTTCACGTTGCGTGTCAAACAGCTTGACTGTTGTCCCACCCTCCTTATCCTTTCGTTTGAAACCCTCTGAAGAGCTGCTGGACTCTGGAGTCTGCACTCAAGCAACATGGAACAACAACCCCTCCAACCGCAACAAGGAGATTTGAACTGGCGCCTCAGCGCCCACCCGATCACCCTACTATTCTTCCTGGGCTTCCGCATTAGTGCCCTGTTGATGTACCTTTTCGGTGTTCTGTTCATCAAGAACTTGTACGTACTAGAGAACTCTGGCTCTGATTTATTATTATACAACTCTAGACGATCCCACGGGTCTCGGAGATATCGCCTAATGGGCCACGCGACCAATTGTCCGAGCTTATCTGACTGATCTCGATCGAATAGTGTCCTGGTTTTCATCCTAACGCTGCTGCTCCTCTCCGCGGACTTCTACTACCTCAAGAACATTGCTGGGCGTCGACTAGTCGGACTGCGCTGGTGGAACGAAGTCAACACATCGAGCGGCGATTCACACTGGGTCTTTGAGTCCTCGGACCCTACCACCCGTACAATTGCCGCCACGGACAAGCGGTTCTTCTGGCTTAGTCTGTATCTTACGCCTACCCTCTGGGTCGGCTTGGCTATTCTGGCTATCATCAAATTGAGCAGTGTGATCTGGTTGAGCTTGGTTGGTACGTGTTGCGGCCCCTTGTTCCCAGCTTCTAAGGTCTGGTCACTAACCGGTTACAGCTATCGCTCTAGTACTGACCATCACGAACACGCTGGCTTTCTCCCGGTGCGATCGCTTCAGCGTCGCCAACAGCGCGCTTTCCGGGGGCATTATGAGTAACCTTGCGGGAGGAATGCTGGGCAGGCTCTTCAAGTAAAATCGGCGTGTTTCGTACTGTGTATGATCTTCGTCCGTCTGTTTGTATCCCTTCATCACTGGCCTGAATGTATGCGCAGTTCAGGGATCTGCCAAACAACATGTAGCGAAACTCAGTTATCAATCCAGAATATCTTGAAACCAGTGGATGTAGATTTTCAATCGCACTGTACACATCGCAGCGCGGCGTAAACGTCTAGAGATGTGGTGAAATATCGCTCACCTTGACCAGTGATATTTTGCGTGACATTCTTATGACTAGCATATCTTGATGTCATCTAGCCCGATGTTTGCATATGTGGCCAGTGCGTGTTACTGCCAAAGGTCATCGCAGGCTGTTCTTGGGACTTAAGGCCCGATCTGTACCTAAAGCAGATGGCCTGCTGAAAATGGCGTGGCATCTTTTCGAGACTGACTTGATCCGCTAGGAAGGGCACCACAAACCGACTTCCAGGTTGCCTGGAGCTTTGAGTTGTCTGCAAACCAGACATACTACCCTGAGTTTCTTTCAACAAGTATTGCTCTTTATGTAATTAGGCTGACATCTGCCGGGTTTTCAGTCTGTATATGACTTGCTAGATTCAGGAACCCATGGTCACCAGCGCAAGGCTGCGATTACTGGAAGGTTGTTGCTGATATTTACTTGAGGAATCCATGAAACACTAGCTCACACACACCCTTCTCTTGTTGATCACCGCAAAGAAGTGATGAGGTGAGCAGTGCCACCACAAGTCAAACTATTTCTCTCAGTTGTAGTCGATTTAGGAAGGAAGTATCAGAAGCTTCAAGCTGATCCTCAATACCGCGTGGAAAGTCCGCTGGGATCACTTCAAGGAACCCCGCTTTCGAGTGAATCTGAGCTCGGCTGTTTATGTTGTGGGGTTAAGATGTCTTCGAAGTGACTTAAAGATAAGATGCGATTGATTAAATCTACCGTGCCATCTTGTCGGTACAAGCACGTGGCTGCGGGCACGTGGTCCTAGAGTCTAGTCACTATCATAGCCCTTAATGATGAAAGCTACATGTAAACACAACAAGAATCTTGCTTTACTTGTGCAGTACCTTGAGTAATGACCGTGTTCATTTTGATATCAAACGTAAGTTTGAAATCTCTTATATGAACACATTATCAGAAAGTGATGTGGCAATGTTCCGTATTCCTGCGACAGGTTTAAGACCGTCAGATAAACAGAAGAATACCCTTCAAGATGGGTTCACATCAAAGGTTACTTGCATAACTTTTAAATCATCCTCACCTATCTGGTTCCCCCATTACTATCACTATCAAGAATTCACTTTTCTACCTCACATCGGGCAACAGATACTGTCTACTTTCTGATATTCAGCCAGCCAACCAGCCAGTTAGTTCTCTGTCTTGTTGTGTTTTCTCTTTACTGCCCACACTCTCTAAACACTTTGTACTTTCATTGTGAAATGTGGGGCGTTTTGCAATGTGATGGGTTCTGCTGAAGATATCTACACCTACAGTTACACCTGATCGTTGAGACTAAACAAACTTCCTCAAGACTTGACCTGCTTCTCTTCTTTGGTTTGAACCACTGGGAATCCCCACTCGTTGCTCTGGCAAGATCCAGACAAACATTCTCACTTCTTTTAAGTTGTTTCAATTGTTGGGCGGCTAGTTCCAAAAGTTGGCACTGAAGCTTGTCACTCACACCAAGTGCACCATTGGATTGTCAGATACTGGATGCTACGAGCTTTCCACAGCAGTCCGTTTATCTCCCGACATCTGCCACATAGCTGAGCGAACTTATGCCTTTTTGATCCACTCTTCCCACCAAGTTACAAGCTGTTTCAATTCAGCTATTCTACTCCACACGGCCCCTGTTTACCCTTCAAACACGCCAGCCTTTCTCATGCAGTCACCAGATCCTCGCAAGAAGCCACAGGCCCGTCTCTGGACCGACGCTGAGAAACTACGCCTGGTAGAGCTGCGAACGGTAGAGAAAGACGTACCGTGGGCAGCCTTTCAGAAGGTATCATCACTCATCCTCGAGTTTACAATCTAGTCACTGACGCGTTTTCTGACATTGTTAGAAATACTTTCCGGATCGAAGCCTTGCTGCAGTTCAAGGGGCTTATTCTGTAAGTATACTCCATGTTTGTTTATATGCTTGCAGGTTCTCATAATAACTTTGAAAGAACTATTGTCGAGGCGAAAAGGAATTCAAAAAGATGGTATTTTTCCCACACCCAGACATCGGGTCTTTCTTACTAACATGATCTCGCTGTCTCTAGCCCGCTGCAGGTAATCAAGGCCCGACTCCCAGCAAGGGTAGAAAGCGTTCCGTGACTAGCTCAGGAACACCTGAGAGCTTTGCTGAACCAAAAAAGACGAAGACAATCTGTGGCTTTGAGTAAGAGATCATCTTCTGAAGGGCCCATCGCAACAATACTGACAGCACAGCAGTGATGACTCAGAAGACGAACCCTCCAACCAGCTGTTTGTGGAAGAGAACACATTCGTGAAGGTAGGCATATGGATTTGGCATCTAGTCCCACTTTCGGTGCTAATATTCTTTCGAATTATCCTTAGGCGCAAGCTGCTGAAATATGTGATACTCGAAAGGCTTCAGAAACTGTCACTGTCGATGTGGCGAAGGTCGATAAGCCCTCTTGCAACATCACTGAGCTACCAGAAGGAATACAGTTCTTTGAGAAAATCATCAATGAGTACAAGTCATTGCAGCAAGCCCTGGTACAGATGGAGAGCAAGCTGAAGGAGAGCGAGGATGAGCTGAAAAGTCTGAAAATGAGCACCATGACTGATAAATGTCAGTTCGAGGTGGCCAAAGCCGACTTGCAAGATGAGATGGATCTCCTCAAGGCTGAACTCCTCCAGATAAAGTCCGAGAAGGACGAGATGTAGACGGCTACGAGCAAGGAAGGTTGCCAGCGCTGTACCGAGCTCGAAGAACAACTCGACCACCTCTTTACGACCTTCCGCCCTGCCCCGAAGTAGGCTTTCAAGCACACTGTGGCTCATTGAGAGTGGTTCTGAATACTTTGGTTTTACTTTTCTCCGCTGATGTTTTCGTTGGTAACCTTGGGGGTTCCTTGATATCTCCGACTTTGCCGATACCTTTTGCGTCTTTTATTTTACTTTTGTTTCATCAAAGTGCCTGGATGCAGTTCTGATCTATTCTTTAGTCTGATCACTTAATTTCTCTTGTGATATACGGAGTTGTGAAATGTGGATAAAGAACGAAGTTAGTTGAAGAATATTCACATGAGAGATCATAAGAAGCCTCCAGAGCTCATATGTAATCATTTTAGAATTAAGATAACAAGTAATTGAAAAGGCAGTCAGATGAGACCACAAGGTGAATGGATGTGGACGACAACAACAGGGAATATTTGGCTCGTTTGTTTGTGTTCCCAGTGTTACTGGTTACCTGCTACTTCACTTCTCCTCACGCTCCTCCTCTCTCTTTCCCTTTCTTCCAGCACCTTTCTCCCCTGCACCCTTCTGCCCCTCCTCTCCTGTCGCTCTACTTCTTCTTCCTTTTTCTGATCGAGGTTTTTTCTATTCCGGTTCCCACTTTCGAATCCTTAACGATTCTACCTCCAGCACCAAGGTTAGTTCACTTTCTAAACACAAATCTCGAGGAATCGGGAAGAGCACCTTATTACAAGATGCTTTTCTTGCAAAAAAGCTACACCAGATTACATGAGAAGACTCGAGGTCTCCTCCCCAGGTCTCCAGTCTCACTTCAGGCAACTGAAGGATCTTTCTACGCGTACCCCCCTTCAAGAGGCTTAGTCTTTCCTTGAGAACATTCGAGTGACTGATAATATGTGTGCTCCACAGTTCCCTTTTCCCTAGCAACATCTCGGTTGCATAGCAAAGATGGACAACTGGAATAGCGCGGAGTGGAACGAAGACGGTCGTGACACTGGTTGGTGACCTATACCCATTCCCAAGACTTTCCACCCACACACCTCTGGGTCGACGCGTTCTCCAGTCCCCTGAGAACTATTGCAGCTCAGTTACAGCATAACATCTAACATAATGCTAGGGTATGGCAACGACGAACATGCCAGGCCTGGTGATTTCAACTCTGCTCCTTACGGTGGCAATGACTATGACCGCGCGTCTGCTGCCGACGGACAGGACGATAACAGATGTCGCAAGTAAGTGCTCTACTTACTGCTGAGGAAACACTACCAGATGGCCAACTCTGAACCTCACAGCTGTGGGGCCGATGACCACTTCGCCCGCATGTGTCCTGAGCCTAAGAAGTCTATGGGTGCTTGCTTCAACTGCGGCGAGGAAGGGTAAGTTTAAAAATGGAATATATGCTTATTTCGTGGGTTAACGTGGCGCGAAATAGACACTCGAAGGCCGACTGCACTAAGCCCCGTGTCTTCAAGGGTACCTGTCGTGTCTGCAACCAGGAAGGACATCCTGCTGCCGAGTGTCCTGAAAGACCTGCTGATGTTTGTAGAAACTGCAAGATGGAAGGTATGGCGAAGCAGAATTCTCTGAAGCCAAGCAACAGAGTGAACTAATATCTTGAGACAGGTCATCGTGCCCTCGATTGCAAGGAGAATCGCAAGTTCGATTTAAATGATGTCCCTGATATGCTCCCTGAGGACGCCTGGAACCTTCTGCAAAAGGCCAGTGATGAGAAAGACCTGGAGGATTTCCGCACCGTAAGACACAACTTTCAACAACAATTCACCTGTTTATCATTTACGAGCATTCGGCTTGTTATGGCTTTATACTGACCCAGACTAGGGCATCAAGATCTTTTCGAAGGCAGTTCCCGAGGCCACTTTCGTCGATATCGAGAAGAGAATGCGTGAGGAAAACCTCAAGTTCTACATCATCGCACTGGTTCGTACAGCCCCTGGCCTTGTATACCCGATTCCATATCAAATCTGTATTGACTGGATGACACAGGAAAGGGAAGCGAACAGCTGTATCAGCTTCATCAATCTCCAAGGCAAGCTAGACTGTACATACGTGATTGGATACTTCTTCAGCCCCAAGCCACAGCGTGCGCATCTTAGAGAGCGTTGGCCATCTAGCGACGACGAGAATCTTGAGCGCCTCGAGGATGCTGGCTTGCCTTATGATCGTCAAGTCCCTAAGTGCGGCAATTGTGGTGGTAAGTTGACCCGCACCATCATGAGACAACCACTAAACTGCTCAAGAAATGGGCCATACTGCCCGTGGCTGCACGCAGGAACGAGCCGAAATTGAGCGTGTCGAAGTGAAATGTGTCAGTTGCAGTGCCGTCGGTCATCGCGCTCGCGACTGCACTGAGCCTCGTCGTGACAAGTTTGCCTGTCGTAACTGCGGGTATGTGGTCAGCCCTAGATCTCCAGAATTGAGGCAACTGACATCTGCAAGTTCTCCTGAGCACAAAGCTGCTGAATGTCCCAACCCTCGCTCAGCGGAGGGTGTGGAGTGCAAGCGTTGCAACGAAGGTAAACCACACGGCTCATCTTTATATTTAGTTGCAGTTCTAACAAGCTTAGTCGGACATTTTGCAAAGGACTGCCCTCAGAAACCTGAGCCCAGAACCTGTCGCAACTGCGGGTGAGCATCACCCTTGATAGCTTCTCCGCTTAAGTGGACTGTTGTTAATTGAACAGATCCGAGGACCATATTGCGCGCGACTGCGATAAACCCCGTGATGTATCTACCGTCACCTGCCGTAACTGTGATGAGGGTACGTTTATCACGCGTATTCACATAGCACGATAGCTAACACCAGGACTCAGTTGGTCACTTTAGTCGTGACTGCACTAAGAAGCGCGATTACTCACGAGTCCAATGCCGCAACTGTGGAGAGAGTAAGGTCTCCCTCCTTCTAAGGATCTTGATACAAATCATTAATTATCTCACTCTTTTTCCTACCAGTGGGCCACACTATCAGACGTTGCCCCAAGGCCCCCGCCGAAGAGTCGTTTGAGGAACCCACTGACAAAAATGACTCAACCGAGCCCGAACCCTGGATCTCTGGAGCTGGGGACAATGAAGATACGCCCGCTTTTGAGGAGGAAAACAATGACGAATGGAATAATGGTGGTGGCGGTGGTGGCGCAGCTTGGTAATGTCGATGCTCACATGGCTTTGCAGGAGCTTGCGAATGGAAGACGGCGAGCTGTTCGTCTACGACGATGTTCGGTGTTACATCATGCGGTGATGATTCCTTCGGTTTTCCAACGGAATGGGTGTCTAGATCTGGTTGATGAGCGATTTACTACTCGATCGGCCTCGGGTTTGACGCTTGGTCTTGAGGACTTCTGATGATATCATCTACCGTTGTATGTGCATGTTTTCTCTCAGAAATAATGGTGTATTTCCAGACAACTCATTCCAAAACAAATCTAGAACGAAGAGAAAAGGCAAGGTCAGTCTGAACTCCGGGTTTGTGTTCGGAACGAGGGAACCACCTTTTGTCCTCCGATGAATGGACGAGAGGAGGGTCCCTCGTACCGAATGGCCTATGGTGTTTTTTGACGTTGAAAGAAATAATTTGTCCCTTGCATCTACCCTCAGCTTCATCTCATTATAGGTTATCCTCGCAAAATAGCCATGGTAGTAGTAAGAATTGGTGAATGGTAAGTCTAACTATAATCTAGATATAAGGGGGACTAATTACATAGATGTAGTGTTGATCCGATCTATACAGAACAGATTCTAAATGCCCATATGGGGAATCGCGGATAAGGAAAAAGTAAGTGACAGGCTCGTCTATGGCTATATAGTATGCAGTGAGATGCCGAGAAATTGATAATGAGTCTATATAAGCGAGAGAGAAAAAAGCAGGCAAAGAAAGGGGAGTGATAGGCCATCCCAACTGGAGTCACTCACTCACTCACTCCTTCTTCCCCTTCTTCAGCGAGGCGAGGCTCCACTTCTTGACGCGGAAGGCATAATACAAGAACACGGCCGCGGCGATATCCACGACAATGTAGACCCAGAAGATGCCGAAGTTGCGCCAGCGCTCGCTGTAGAAGATGTTCACGCCCGCCAGATACTGATCGGCGACGGACATGGAGCAGTACTCGCAGCTGGCGGTGGCATTGGGGTTCTTCAGGTACCCAACGGCGGTCTGGAGGTAGTCGCTCAGGTAGTCGCCGCAGGTCTGGCCGGCGGGGGGATTGAAGATGGACAGCTCGGTGCTGCTGCACTGGACGGGGCGGCCGTGCAGCTGGGTGGCGGTGACGCCGCCGACCCAATACGTAAAGGGGGAGACGCGATACATGAAGATCCAGAAGCCCGGGAGGGCGGAGGGGGACTGCATGACGCCGTTGAAGGTGAGGGCCATGGAGAAGAGGAGGGTGACGATGGCGCCGGCGGTCTCGGCGTCGGGCAGCGCGGCGATGCACAGGATGGCGAAGGTGCTGGCGTAGATGAAGAACTGGATGCAGAACAACAAGACCAGCCCCTGGCGCGACGAGGCCTGCACCCCGTCCACGGCGTAGTAGTAGCACGCGTACACCAGAATGCCCATGACGATCTGGTAGGGGATCTCGACGATGATGCTGGCGACCATAAACGTCTTCCACGAGTAGGTCTTGCTGGGCCGCTCCCGCACCTCGTACAGCGACCGCTGGATGATGAACATCGGGATGATCTGCTGCACCAGCGACGAGAAGATCGCGCACAGCATGAACACCGAGAAGATCGCGTCCTGCAGCCCCTGCGTCGAGCTGTCCGCGTGGAAGAAGCTGAACCCGATGAACAAGCCCGAGCAGATCCCCAGCATCATCTTGGCGACAATGTACATCGGCGTCCGCCAGTATTGCTCGAACACCCGCCGCATCACGATCGGCAGTTGCTTCGTCAACGGCATGGCGAATTCCGCGTGCTCCCGGGGATCTTCTTCGGAAGCCTGCGCTGGTCCCTGGTTGCTATTGGCGGCATGGATCCGGTGGAGTTCCTGCTGCACGGCGGCGGCTTCCGGGCTCCGTTTCCACACCTCGAACCAATCTTCCCCGTGTTTGTTGCTGACCGCGTTGACGATCTCGAGCATGTATTCGGCCGGGTTTTCCTCATCGTCGCAGCGCCGCGGCGCGCCGTTGGCTTCGAAGTAGTCGAGCAGCGTCCGGGAATTCTCGCCGATCGGGCCGAAGTATACGGTTTTGCCGCCGCGGGCAAGGAATAGTAGCTGGTCGAACTGCTGGAATAGGATAGCGCTGGGTTGGTGGATCGTGCAGAGAATCGCTTGGCCGGCGTCGGCGAGTTTGCGCAGGAAGCTGCAGATAGCCCAGGAACTCTGGGAGTCCAGACCACTGTGGATGGATAGTTAGATATGTGCTTAAGCTTAGTAGCCAGGGGTCAGCTGAATGGGGCCTTACCTGGTTGGCTCGTCCAAGAACAGCAGGAGCTTCGGTTTGGCGGCCAATTCCACTCCGATGGTCAACAGCTTGCGTTGCTCGACGTTGAGACCTTCGCCGAGAACACCAACGACAGCTTCAGCGAACTCCTCCATGTTCAGCATCTTGATGACCTCTTCGACATAGGCATATTTCTCCTCGATCGGTACCGAGTCCGGCTGTCGGAGCATAGCACTGAATCTTAAGCTCTCGCGGACAGTCGCGGTCTCGAGGTGCAGATCTTGTTGTTGAACATAACCGGTCTTTCGAGGGAAACTCGAATCCAGAGGGCGACCACTGACGAACATGTCGCCCGTGATGACACCCATGGTCGTGCGGTGCGCCAACACATCGAGAAGAGTGGTTTTGCCGGCACCACTGACTCCCATCAACGCTGTCAGAGTTCCCGGCTTGACCCAGCCGGCCACGTGGTCGAGCAGTCGACGTGGTTCTCCCTTGATCTCGATATCGTAAACGATGTTGTTCCATGTGAAAACGTCTCGCTGAGGTGGGATGGAGAAGGCCCCATTCTGTTGTTTGTCGTTCGCATTGTCCTGCGTTGAAGCAGCGGCAGGCTTGCCGGATTCCTCATCAGCGCTAGCCCCTTGTTCCTGCTTCAGGTGAGCAGGCTCGTGTCCTCGGCGGAACAGCAGGACCTCGGCCGTGCTGGTGGCGGATGAGTTGAGTTCGGTGGCGAGAAAGTAAATGGCCAGGAAACCGATGAGGAATGCGATCAGGATGCCGAAGTTCCTCCAAACGTGACTGTACGTATATCTGTATGAAGCCCAAATGAAGTCGTCGCCGCTGACAGTCTGACGACCGGCAACAGCTCCAGTTGCGGAGCATACGAAAGAGTCGCCTTCGAGGTTCGGGTAGGAGGGGACAAACTCAGAACAGGCAAACTCGCGTCCGTGGAACTCGTTGGCAACCAGAATTTCGAACGCGTAGTAGATCGGGTTAATGTAGTGAATCCATCCAAACCAGGGATGCATTTGGGGCACTGGGACCACGAAGCCTGTGTAGATGACCAAGGCGAGAATCAGAATACCGGCCAAGGTCATGGCTTGGGAGACAGTTTTGGTGATCGCAGCCATAGTCCGGAATACAGCGCTCATCACAAACATGATGATGAAGTTGATGAGGAAGTATATGAAGAACTGCGATGGCTCTCTGCGCAGATTACTCAGAAAGTACAGAATAATGTTGAAAACCACCGCTAGAAGGAACTTGACCGGTATGTCGCTCAAGACGCCGGCAATGGCTTCCGTGGCTGGGTGATAGAAGGCGAAGGACGCATGTTTCTCCACAATCGGACGCTGAGAGTACAAGCTGTTGATCTCCGTCATAGCCGTGAGGGCGTTCAGGAGCACCGCATAGAAGAGTACTGCACCCCTGGAGAAAAATCCCGCAGTTGACACAGGGGAGCCGTAGAAGACTGAACCAATAATCAAAGCCAGTATACAGTTTCCGACCACGGTTGTCACCGTTGAGGTCCGCTCGTTCCAAACTCGCTGGTAGGCTCGAATCGTGTTGAGTTTGATCTGCATGGGTATGCTAAGAAGATATGGCGAAGCTGCCCGGGTATGATTGGCCTGTTCTTGTCGCTTCTGCTGCTGCAATTCTAGCAACTTCTCATTTGAGCGGGACGAAACATGCTGCTGATGAGCAGCCATCTCTTTCTGAAGTTCCTGATACTCAGGCGACTGGCGCCAGTATGTTTCGAACTCTTGAGGTGCACGTGGAACTCGGGCCTCCATACCAGGAATTGGCTGCCGTTCCACCGGATTGGTAACGGAGGTCAGGAAGTCACCGGTTGTTTGACGTGGAGGACAGAACCAGCCCTGACGCTCAAAGAAAGATTTTGCCTTAGCGGCCGACCCGTAATAGATTTGATGTCCCTCGTAGAGTAGCACAGTCTTGTCGAAGAGATCATAGATCGCTTGACTAGCTTGGTAGGCAGCGACCGCATGCAACGACGACCCTAGGTCAGCCGACAGCCGTAGAGCCTGCACAAATTTCAGTGCCGTTGCTGAATCTAGACCGCGGGTCGAGTTGTCCCACGCAGCGATGGGGGCTCCCGAGACAGCCATTTCTGCAATGCTGACACGCTTTCGCTCACCACCCGATACACCACGGACGTGGTCGCTTCCCACCTTGGTGTTGTACGTATGACTTAAGCCAAACACCGCCATCACTACCTTCGTCATCATCGTTGCATACTCCTTCCGGGACATGCCCTGTAGACGCTTGGAGGGTGTCCGAACAGATGCGGCGAATTCCAGTGTCTGTCCCACAGTCAGGTGCGGAAAGTGTTTGTCTCCTTCCTGGTTGTAGAGGACTTCACCCTTGAATTCCTTGATCATGGTCTTCTGAGGAATGCCACTGTAGTGGATCACTGATGCGGGATCCAGGTCCAGTCCATTCAACTCGCCGCAGAGCGTTTTGAGAAATGTACTGCAGCCTGAACCAGGACGGCCCAGCACGAGCAGCAACTCTCCACTCTCCAACACGCCATCAAACCCCCGTAGAATCTGCTTGGGTGTCTTGGGACCAAGATTGAAAGTTTCACGCGGCCTCAGGGGTGCTGTAAGCAGGTCCGACACAGTTTGTTGAAGTTGCAGTGCCGATCCAGTCCCTGAAACTCGGAGGTTTTCGAAATAGATGGCCGCTTCCTTTTGCTGGATTCCTCCCTCGTTCAGCAAGTGTGAGATCTTCCGCAGCCATTTGTA